CTTTGGGAGAGGAAGATCACTGTGGCCTCCTGGCCCCCAAATCCCGGGATTCAGGTGGAAACGAGCCTGGCTTTGGGAGACACGGCTCATTCCGGCCTCCACTCGAGCTCTGACCCCTCCAAGCTCTCCCAGGCCTGGATTTGCTGCCGCTGGAATGTCCCCCCTGGAATGTGCGGCCACGGAGAGGGTCGTGATGAGTCCCAAGGCTGCTCCCTTGGCTCTGGAATTCTGGGATCACCGGCTGAGCTTCCCAAGCCCGGCCCTGGGGCCGGTTGGGGGGGGTTTGGTTGGAGCCCCCCAGGCAGGGGGGGTGGGAGTTCTGCGGGTTTGGCTCCGCTGGGGATCCACTTCCAGCAGGAAAAGGAGCTTCCCTTGGCCCACCTGCTCTTCCCATTCCCGTCCCAGACTCCCCAGATAACCAGGAGAGGTGGATCAGGCCCTGGAATTTCCTCCTACCTTTGGGAAAGGTTGAGTGGCCGTGGGGGGATTTGCTGGAATCCTGGAATGCTTCGGATTGGGAAGGCACAACTCGAGGCTGTTTCCTTTCCCTTCCCTTTGTTTTCCCCCTTTCTCTGCTCTTTCCCCCCCTCTCCTCCTTTTTCCCTTCAGCTTTTCCATCACTTGGCATCCAGAGCTCACCAAAGGCTGCCATCCTGGCAGGAGTGGGAATTCCAGGCTTTCCCAAATCCAGCCCCTTTCCCCCTCTTTGTCCTTCTCAGAACAGCGTGAAAGAAATTCCTCTGCTCTCCTACCCCCATGTTGGGACCTCTCGAAGGTTTTCCCTGGAAAACATCATCCCATGCTTATGAAAAACATGGATCCAGGGCACTTTAAGTGGATGGAGGAGGCGGAAACCTCTTTGTCCTCCTTTTTTTCCCCCCTTTGGAGCAGATCCGAGGTCGTTCCTCTGCCCGAGGCAAACAAAGACAAATAGGATTTGGTGGAAAAGGGGAAAAAATAACCCCCAGGACAAGCAGGAGCTTCACAATCCCCGTGTCATTTGCCAAGGAAAACACGGTGGGAAGAGGCATCTGCTTGCAATGTCCATGGAAAACAAAGCCTGGATTCATTGTCCTCCTCCGAGGAGAACAGAGGACAATTGGCACCTGTTGGGATGAGTCACCTCCGAGGGGTGGGATGGGCCCATCCCGGGATTTGGAGCTGCCCAGCGGCTCCAAAGGGGGGCACGAAGGGCACTGGGGGGGTTGGAGGTCTCTCCCTTCAGGGCTGGAATGTTGGGAAGATGTTGGACCCTCCTTCCCACCCCTCCCCAGGGAATGTGAACAGTTGGAGTCCGAGCCCTCCAGGTCATTCCTTTATTTCGGAGTTATGCAACTGAGGAAAAGAAAATAGAAATAATAATAATAATAACAAATAACAATATAATGTTGGGCTGCTTTTACATATTTATTTATTTTCTCCGTGGTTGAATAATCAAGGATTTGAAATTCCCAGGTTTCCTCTGCCAGCACAAGGCCTAAAAACGCCCACCTTGTCACGGGACAGCTGAGGTTTCCTTCAGCTCCTCCAGCTCCAGAAATGCCAGAAACCCCAAATCCCGTCAGCTGGGATCGTCTCCCTCGTGTCCTGAGGACAGGAAATCCCACAGGGATATCCCAGGGAGACCTGGAGAACTCCCAGCTGGCTCCTGAGGGATGGGGTTTTGAGAGGATTATTCCCTTCTTCCTGCCTCCCCCACCTCCATCCCAACCTGGAGACGGGGGGACCCGCCCCAGGTGGGTAATTTTGGGCAACTTCCCGAAGAACTGGAGGGGAGGGAATTGGCCCAGGAGCTGGAGGAAGTTCAGGGAAGAGGGATGAGGCATCTGGGGGAACGGAGACTCCCGGAAGGATGAGATTGGAAGGCTTGGGCTTGTTTAACCCCCCAGGAAAGAGCCTCTGGCAGCCCCAAACCGGGAATGAATCCCAAGCAAGGAGGGGAACTGCAGGGAAACCTTGGCATGAGGGATAAAACAGAGGGAAAAGGGCTCTGGATCCATCCAGGTGTTGGTGCAGCTGGAGCAGCAGTTGAGGTCGGACCCTCCTCCCTGATCCTTCGTGTCCCCAAGGCTCAGGCTCATGGAATCAGGGAATTCCAGAGTGCTTTGGGTGGGAAGGGCCTTAAAGATGATCCAGTGCCAGGGGCAGGGACACCTCCCCCTATCCCAGGTTGCTCCAAGCCCTGTCCAACCTGGCCTGGGCCACTCCCAGGGATGGGGATTCCACAAGCTCCTTTCCTCCATCCCAAGTGAAATCCCTGGAGAACCAAACCCCGGGTTGGGATGGTTCAGAGGACCAGGGGCCATCCTCTCCTCGCCTTTTTCCTGGCACTGGGAAAACTCCCCTTTGGCGACCTCTGGGCACTTTGGGAACCCACAGCGAGGAATTCCAGGCCCTCACGTCCAAGTCTTCCCCCTTCCCGAGGAGGAACAGAGGCTGGAGAGGCTCTGGGGCAGGAAATGGCTCCCGGAGCGCTGGTGGGTGTACGAGACATGCCAGGCTGCCTCATTCCATGAAATCTGCTTCCCATTAAAGAGCAGCCGGAGCTCTGGAGCCCATTAAACGCTACTTTTCAGTACCAGGCTTTGATTCCAGCTGTTTGTTTTTATGGACGGGGAGCCGAGCGAGGGAAAGGGGAATAAAAGTGAGGAGAAAAAAAATAAAACGGCCGCTGGGTCGGAGGGTGGAAAAAAACCCCCTCAGGATTCCAAACACACCTTCCCTGCTCCTCCGGCCCCCTTTGGAAAAGCCCTCGTGGATGGATCAGCCTCTTCATCACCTCGGTGTGATGGAGATTCCAGACTCCCTGGTTGGAATGGGCCTGGTGTGTGCTCTGGGAAATGTGGGGTTTAAACTTCCCTGGGAATGACGGGCCGGAGCGGGGCCGGGAGCGGGGATGGGGATCCTGCATCCCAAAGGCCTCAGAACAGGGATAAACGGGGTGAAACGAGTTCAAAGTTCATTAATTAGGAAGGAATTGTCTGCTCTGAGGGTGGGGAGGGGCTGGGATGGAATTCCCAGAGAAGCTGTGGCTGCCCCTGGATCCCTGGAAGTGTCCGGGGCCGGGTTG